CAAACATAATACTGACAAAGAACCTCTATGGGGGCTGGCTTGGAAAGAAGTGTATCAAGAACTCTGTGCTACTAAGGACCTGCCACACTGTGTGTGGGATTACAGTGCCAGCACCCTCTTCCCAGCTGCCAAACTCAGGCAAGTCAACTTTGAGCAGGGGTACAAACAATGATTTTCTGAGGTTCTTTTCACTTTATTGCTTGGTTGACTGTTGCTGTTGTTATTGCAACCATTTATATCACATGCACTGGGCTCCATGTAGTGCATTTATGCTATCTGATTCCATGTTCACAAGCCACCGAGGTAGATACTATTTCCATCTTATAGATAGGGGCTAAAAGATATCAGGGAACTTGCCTAAGGCATACACAGGGACTGAAGTCCAAGTTGGTCAAACATCTATGCTCACGTTCTCAACCACCATGTTATACACCTCCTTCAATTCCAAAAACGTAGTGAGCAACAATTCACAGAATTTGTGGATGTTAGGGGTTTTAATAGTTCCTGGGTTTATTAAAACAATTTATTTCTTCTAAAGGGTAATGTAGTCTTGGATAACCTATTTTTATTTGACTTACAGTCAAATTCCTATTCCAGAAGGACTATAATTTTTATCTCCAGCCTGTAATTTCCTTCACTTATAGCTTACATTAGTTGGCCCGGGCAGCAGTCCTATTGTCTATGTTGGGCGTTACATTACTGAAAAATAACTTGGCTGACACAACTGGGATTTCATTTAAAATAAGGAGTTAGAGGAATTTTTAAATAACATTAAATAAAAATTCAAGGGACTATGGTATGGGGTAGAAAAAAAATTCTTTGGCATTAAAAACATATTCTGCAAGATTACCAACCATTTCACTCCATCAACTTCCAACTGTTTCAAGAAATAGAGTTTCAGTGTTATAAACTGCTAAGGTAGCGTCTATAATTTTTATGTTATGTGGATAATATATATATTTTAAAGTTGCCTTTCGTTGGTATGAAAAATATACTTTAACATTTTATTTCTGAACGGATAAGATAGATATTTCAAAGCCCAAAAGATACAAGACTGTAGAGTGAAAAACTCCCCTGGCCCTTGCTACCCATGTGCTCTCCCAAGAAGTAATCAATGCTGTGAATTTCTTATGGATTCTTCCAGAAATGTTTTTCATAAACATACATGCATAATCTATTTCCCCATTGTTTTACACAGATGGTCACATACTATATACTAGTCTACATATTACTTTTTAAAAAAACTGAATAGATCTTGGAGATTGTCTCATACTTGTCTATAAAAAACTTTATTCTTATTTAAGGTTGCATAGTATTCCTTTCTATGAAAGCACTATAATTTTATTGAACTAGTCTTATCTGGATTGTTTCCAATTTTTCCTGTTACACAAAATGGTTCAATAAATAAATCTTGTATATATATCATTTCATATACATGTGAGTTTATCTGTTATGTGAAGTTCCTAAAAACCACAACATGGAGCTGATACAAACTTATACTCCCACAGCAGTAAATGGGAGGGCCTCTTTCCTCATAAAGTGTTATCAAACTTTTTTAATGTTGATCAATCTGACAGGTGAAAATAGTATTTCAGTGTAATTTTAATGGGCATTTCCCATATTTTAAGGGAAGATGAGTTTTCATATTTAAGAACAATTATATTTCCTTTAATAAAATAAGTTTATTCATATCCTTTGTCCATTTTTCTACTTTGTGTTCTTTTCCTTGTTGATTTATAGGAAAATTTGCTCTTTACCGTGAGCTGTAAACGTTTTCCTTGGTTTGCCATGTCTTTTGATTTTGTTTATGGTGCTTTTGGCCATGGAAAAATTCTTTAGGTTTATGTAAATGTACCCACATTTTATAGTTTTTGGATTTTTTGTCATATTGAAAAGGTCTTGTAAAATCTTTAAAAATAATAATAAAATAAAATTGGGGAAATAATAACACCTATTTTGTAGGGTTAGAGGGTTAAATTCAGTAATAACGTGCACAGTGCCATTTGAGTGCCCAGCAAATAGCTCTCAAAGAGTGCTGGTCATTTTCTTTTTTACTTGGTCATTTTTCTTTTTTACTTAGATCCGGAATGTCCACAGTTGCAAATTAATGCAAAACAGACTTTTCTTATTAAAAGTAGGGATTTTCAGTAATCAGGGATTTTAAGGAAAAATTCCCCCATGCTTTCTCTCAGTATAATTACAACTTCCTTTCTTACATTTATACTTCAAATCCATCTGAAATGTATTCTGATATAAAGTATGAAGTTTAGATTCAGCCATATTCTGTTCCAGATGGTACCTTTTTTCCAACCTTCTGCACCCTGCGTTTTATTCTCTTGTTCAACGTAATTTTTGGAAAAATGATCTTTTCATGAATTATTAGCTAGTTAATGACCTTTTCTGGGTCTGTTTTTTGCTACACCATATTAAAAGGGCAAAGCATAAATAGATATTTCACATACTTTTTTGAGTAACAATCATCCAGTCTATGGAAAGGAAGCAAATAATTGTTTCTCTGGTTAAGGGGAAGGGATGGAATAATCACATGTATTCAAATAGATTCCAGATTTTAAAATTTTTTATGTAAAATTAAAAAATATTTAAAAATTGGTTATCATAAAAATCTTGATGACCAAACTATAGCTAGCGGAACTGCTGTAACTTATATTATGTACATATATGCATATATACTGTATGTAGTTTATATATAAAATATCATTTTGTGATTTCACCTGCAGTATTTGAATTAAAAAAATTCTAAAACATGATATCAAGTCTATAGAAAGATAAGTCCATGGAAAACCAAAAGCACAAATGAAGACATCAGATCATTTCTGTGAAAATGTGACATCTATCCAAATGTTTTACACATCCTAAAACAGAAAATCCTGTAAGTGGAATAATAACAATAGGAAGACTATAAAAGCCCCTAGAATATATTTAAGATAAAAATAAGACAAATGAAGCAGATTAAAATTTTGAAATAATGAAAAGAAAACAAGATACAGTCTAGAGGAGAAAGGCATTAGTTACTGTGAACAAGATGTAAGCCGTTTGTTGAGTGAAGGAAAGAATAAAGTCTTATCTTCATGTGACTTCTTTAAATCGACCACACAAATCTTCAAAAGTCAGTTTTAAAAACATATTTTACAAAGATACAAAAATCATTTATAGCCTAATTAGGTAGCAAAATAACCTTAGTAGCTCACTTATTATACCTCCTTAAATTTAATATGTAGAAATCAATGACAGTGATTACTAAAACAGTGATTGAATTCTCATTAAGATTACTAATAAGTCAATCAGAGAAAGATGTATCATATGATCTCACTGATATGAGGAATTCTTAATCTCAGAAAACAAACAGGGTTGCTGGAGTGGTGGGGGGTGGGAGGGATGGGGGGCTGGGTGATAGACATTGGGGAGGGTATGTGCTATGGTGAGTGCTGTGAATTGTGCAAGACTGTTGAATCAGAGACCTGTACCTCTGAAACAAATAATACATTATATATTTAAAAAAAAGAAGAAGATAGTAGGAAGGGAAAAATGAAGGGGGGGAAATTGGAGGGGGAGACAAACCATGAGAGACTATGGACTCTGAGAAACAACCTGAGGGTTCTAGAGGGGAGGGTGGTGGTGGGGGATGGGTTAGTCTGGTGATGGGTATTAAAGAGGGCACGTTCTGCATGGAGCACTGGGTGTTATACGCAAACAATGAATCATGGAACACTACATCAAAACTAATGATGTACTGTATGGTGACTAACATAATAAAAAAAAAGACTACTAACAGAAGTACTAAAATGTCTGAAATATTAATGTTAGATAAGTTAATAAGTTTAAATCTGAAAATCCCTACTTTTAATAAGAAAAGTCTGTTTTGCATTAATTTGCAACTGTGGACATTCCGGATCTAAGTAAAAAAGAAAAATGACCAAGTAAAAAAGAAAATGACCAGCACTCTTTGAGAGCTATTTGCTGGGCACTCAAATGGCACTGTGCACGTTATTACTGAATTTAACCCTCTAACCCTACAAAATAGGTGTTATTATTTCCCCAATTTTATTTTATTATTATTTTTAAAGATTTTACTTATTTATCTGACCGAGAGATAGAGAGCACAAGTAGGCAGAGTGGCAGGCAGAGGGAGAGGGAGAAGCAGGCTCCCCACTGAGCAGGGAGCCGGACTCAGGGCTCGATCCCAGGACGCTGGGATCATGACCTGGGCCAAAGGCAGACACCTAACAACTGAGCCACCCAGGCGCCCCTATTTCCCCAATTTTAGATGAGACAGTTAGAAATGTAGAGATTAGCCTTAGGTCATGTGATTAATTACTAAGTAGCATCACCAGTCTTACCTCATACCTTATGATCTTGGATACTAGGTTATACTTCACAAATGCAGTTAAAAAAAAAAAAAAGTCAAGTAATTTGAGGAATTTAACATTGCTTAACTAAATACAACTATTCGACTAAGTAAAACAGTATTTTTTAAATCAAAATCATTCCCTTGAGGTTAGGATTCAGTAACCTCATTTCAACTGTGCTGTTTTTATAACTTTAAATGTGTTAAAACCTTGAACATGTAAAAGGATAGTGTCTGCATTAAGCTAGGGAAGAACTAAAATAAATACCTAAAATCTTTCTCCTGGTATTCAGAAACACATGCATTATATTGTGAATGCCAGGAAAAATCAGAGATTCACCAAGAACATTTATTGCATATCAAGTAAAAAAAAATTAACTGCTTTAGACTATGATTACAACAAATCTAATTTCCAAAATATAATTTATGATGATGGGGAATACTATAGAAATTAATTCTTTGAAAACTCAACTGATATAACAACCACTAAAGCCATAACTGTCTTAGGTTCTACATTGGTTTTCTTTCTAAAAGAGAGCATATGAAAGTGTATATAGATATTTGTGTGTGTATAGTATGCTAGTCTTATAAATACTGCTTCAAGTTATCCCAAAGTATGATGTAAGCCTCTTACTTTCCGTCTCTCAGGTCCACCGAATGCAATATGCCTTGCTTCTTCCACAGTCTCACAGACAAGGCCATTTCCACATACAAACTGAATTACTTTCTTCAGCTGAGGAAACTGAGTCTTTATGACATCAATCACCATTTTACAGCCTTTAATCTCCCTTAATCTTTCATTGATTGGCTTGATCTAAAAGGTTAAAAAATACTTGGTATATTAGATACACTAAAATAAAAACCAAATAGTACATCCTCAAAAAGCATAAATAAACATAACAGCAAAAAAATTTAACAGTACGTACTTATATATAATAATATTTTGACAAGAAACTGATGAACTATATATCCCAACAGTGGCTCATGTAACGTTTAAAGAAAATATACTTCAAGACATAATTTCCAGATTCAACTCTGCCACCGACCAGTTAGGACAAAGCAATGCACGAGCAATACTCTCAAAATTAGAAAGTCTAGTGGGAGATAATACCCATTTACGTATGTGTCAAAAGAGTGGCACTTCATGGAACTCAGAAAATCATTTTAGGCTTAAATGACCAGGAAAGCCTTCAGACCTTCTTTGACATGACTTCTAAGCTGAGTTTGTAAATAGAAAAAAAAAAAAAAATGTGTCTGCAATGATTACTGAAGAAAAGCAAGAATGACCTCATTTTTATGAGAAGAAACCAGTGAGAACTAATGACAAGCAGGACTGAGAGTTAAATGCAGGGCAGTCCAGTCTAGGGCACAAGCTCTAACCACTGCTGCTCAGGGTCTTGAAACTGGACCAAGTGGAGCATTTTCTTTAGTAGGCAATAAAAAAACCAGTAAAGGACACCAGCTATGATAAAGGCAAAGTTCCTGCTGCAGTAATTTATTCTGGATACTTTAAGGCCTCTCAATACATACCTTAAGGCCCCAAATTTAGTCTGTTCCACCACGGGCTGATATGTGTTTACTGCAATGTATGTAAATCTGTGATTGTGTATTTAACAGTTGAGACCCACGGTTGGCATTTCATGGACACACCATATGTCTTAACTGTTCCTCCAGTTTGCTATAGAACAAAATAAATTGCTGGCTAGTAGGCAGGGTGGTATACTGCTAGAGTAACGTCCTCAAAATCAAGTAGAATTACGGCAAAACTGAATTAGGAAGAAATGATATTAAATCAAGAATCACTATTCTTGGGGCGCCTGGGTGGCTCAGTTGGTTAAGCGTCTACCTTCGGCTCAGGTCATGATCCCGGGGTCCTGGGATCGAGTCCCACATTGGGCTCCCTGCTCAGTGGGGAGCCTGCTTCTCCCTCTCCTCTGCCCCTGTCCCCCTTGCTCATGTTCTCTTGCTCTCTCTCCCTCAAATAAATAAAAATCTTTTAAGAAAAAAATAATTACTATTTTTTGCCTACCAATACATTAACACCCATTTGAATGACTAACTGGCATCCAAGCTATGATTTTTTTCAATTGCTACTATAGTTTTAGGCAATAAAGACATACTTTAAAAGACAAGATTTTATCACTAAGTGCTTATTTAATAAGCATTAAAATTTCTTACATCAAGGTAATCTAGAGCAAGGAATGTCTCTGGTTCAGCTCTTTCTTCCTTCAGAAATCGAATACAATCTTTTGCTACCTTTTCAGAGGCTACGACAATGGCAACCATGTACCGGCCAAAAACTTTAGTAACAGCCAGCTGGTATTTCTTATGAATAGGATGACAGAGGTCAAGTAGTCTTCCAAACTTAACAGGTTTCCAAAAAAGAGAAAAACAAACACATTACTGAGGAACATATAATTCATTGTTTCTTATGTAACAAGGCACAATAGACCAAAAACTAATTTTATAAAATTATAAACCTATTTGAACAGAGTCTTATTCAAATGGACATAGGTTTCATCATGAAGTATCCATTTCGGTGTAGCACTTCATGTAAGAAAAGAGTAGTGTGGAGGGATTAGCCTTACCAAAGTATTAAAATATTTTACAAGGCTATGATAATAGTATTCATCCACTCTCTTAGTTATTAAATAAGAATTAATGAGGCACCTACTACATGCAGATACTCAGCTAGACAGTGTGTGAACATTATTGAACATAATAGACACTCTGACCTCACCAAGCTTTCAGTCTAGTAGGGAAGAAAGATATAAATAATTTCAAGCACGTACAAAATAGAGCAATAATACAATGATAAAGCACAAAATGCTCTGAGAGTTTGTAACAGGGACCAGGCTGACTTGAAAAGTCAGGGGAATCTTCCTATGAAGAAATGTTATCTGAGGTCTGAAGACTGGTCAAAAATTAGACTGAACATCAATACCTTTACTAGAAAATGTCAGAAGGTCAACCATCCTGTATCAATGCTCCCCAGAATACCTGAAGATTCAATTTTACATCTTTCTACTCTTTCTTCATTTGATAGGTTCTACTTCAGGAATACGAATTTCTTTATGATAGACCATCATTGTCTTTAATATTTACTCTCCTGCTCTTTGTTTTTTCCTTCTCCATTCACCTGTGATTAATTCAAATCTTTCTTCTAGGTCAGTAATTTGATTTTCATCTGTGTAACCCATTCTCCTTGCTACTTGCAATTTATTAGTTCAGTAATATTGTTTGTTCTTGATTTGTTTTCATAGCTCTACATTTTACTTTTTATTTTGTTTTAGCTCATATGTGAATCTGGTTTTATGAATTCAAGCTCTTATTAAATTGTCCATAGCACAAATTACTTATGGGGGATTTTGTTCTGTAACCTTCTCCCAGACTAGGCTCTTAGACTTCTAAGTGCTTTTTAAATTACTCTTTCTCTTTATTGTCATGTGGACCTATAGCTAACATATTGATTCTTTTCACCTTGCTTATGTTTAAGGTGGGCAGCTCTGTTCAGACCTTGAAGTTGCTGTGGTGGATAACTGTTTTGATTGCCTCACCTAGAACTGAGACAGTAATTTCCTCTGAGCAACAGGTGATGGAATAAATATTTTCTGATCTATTTCCTAGCATCTCAGGGCTTGGAGGACAGGAGCAAGTGAGAGCTGAATTGAGGCTGTGTGTATCTTTTGTTTGAATACCTGTTTCACTCTTTCTTCTGAGTTTTTCCTTACCAAGTTTCCTCTACCATGGGAGAGGAGGGAAAATCCCATTTTTGGGAAAGGGCTTTGAATTGGCCTTCACTTCCACTTAAGAACATCAGAGGTACATGTTCCTTGATTCACCAGTTTTTTAACCAAAGGAAGCAAATACATATGTGTTTGCTTCCTGCTAGATTAAGGAATACTTAATCTAGGTGAGAATTCTCAGAAAGTAATCAATTTGTTAGTTTTCCTTCTGCAGAATTAAGAACAAGAAATGTTATCATTTAATCTTTTTTTTTTTTAATCTATCACCATTTTCTAAAGTTCTGGCATTAGATGTAATAGCCATTTCCTTCTTTGGTTGTTAAACTCATTTTTAAAACTAGTTTTGCCATTTTCTTTGGTATTGGGGGGAAGGATTCTGTGACCCAGGCTTACTCCTTCATCACGATCTAGAAGTCAAGACCAGTTTCAAAACAGTTCAAGTGGCTAACAGTATCAAAAGTTAAAGCAGGCCCTCATAAACTAAGGACGGCAACTGGAGTTAATGACATGAGAGTCAGATGCCACAACCCTAATGCCAGAGGAAATAATTCTGTGAAGTTGACACCCCAAGCAATAGGTTAGATATTGCTGTATTTGAGTTGATAAAATACATTAGCAGAAGTGGATACACAATCAGCTTTACAGAATAAAAATTCATTGTTTCAAAAGTATGCCAATGATGTCTACTGAAAAAATATTTTTAAAAAATTGAAACCATGAAGAACTTGCAGTTTGAGGCTATCTGCCTGGGGTGGGGGGGCAGACTATTTTATGGCACCCCTATTCTTTGGGGATACTGGTTGTAACTTGGACTTTCTGGGTAATACGTTCACATCAATGTTTCTCTCCAATAATTACTTATCTATAGACACTACTGGAAATTATTTAAATTATGTTGCAATTATTTACTATTATGTTTTGAATATAATAATCAAACACAAAACTAAAAGATTTCTGAAATAATTCTGCTTCCTAAAAATGGTAACATTTTTAATCCCAAATAAGAAAGCTTATTAGCCTTTTTGTTTCAATTAACTATTCATTTCTAATTACCACAGAATCTGGGTAAAGTCTTTTAAGGTGCTCCAGAACCTCTGCTCTCTTTTGCTGACGGTTCCCCTCATGGCTATCAATTCCGGCATTCTGCAATTCACTTTTAATAAGATTCAATTCTTCATTAACTTCAGACATTCGTGATTTTGTGTTTTCAATTTCACCCACTAGGGTTTCCTCTTGCTGTTTTTTCTCTTTCAAGCAATCCCTACATAATAATAACAACAAATTGCATAGCAAAAAAAAAAAACAACAAAATTTAATTACAAGATACATTCCATTGTGGTCTAGCATCTCAGGGGAACAGAATAGTGCTTATCAAATTTAAATGATGAAAAATACAATAAAATAAGCCTAGCACCAGACATGGTCAAAGAGATTTTGATCATTCTTGGTTGGTCCAGAAGATACATTTTTCTGAATACTGAGAAAGTAAGGACAGATCGCTATAACCAGAGCAGTCATTGTGGGCTTAGTGATAAGTAAATGGCAATGAAAAATAAAAGTTCTGGTGGTAGGATACTTAGGTCATATCAGCTTTCGTGTCTTAACTTTTACTATAAAATATCAATACCAAAATTTCACCACTTGAAAGTTTGTATTTTCAAAACTTAAATATTGTATTTACTATGTGGTTAAGTATAATTTTTAATTATCTACAATGAAATGAAAAAAAAAATGGAGGAGTGAGAACATTAGGATACAGTCAGTGGAAGCTTTCATTTCATGAATATCCCACAAACATACCAGACCCTTGAGACATGAGAAAGCCATAAGAACTGTACCCACATGCATGTTTTTGTATACTCCTCCAACTTCTCTATTCGTTTTTTATGATCTTCTATCTGTTCTTTTATTTGTTTTAGATTTTCCTAAAATAGGAAAAAAAGCCATAAAACCAGTATCAGCAACTCCAAACAAAATTATTTTTCACTATTCCTAGAAATTACTATAGAATTGTAAGGTGTTCTAAATTTGAAGCATATCAAATATAACCTTATGAAAACACTCGTAAGAGTGTTTTCTCTCTCTCAAAAAATAAAATAAATAAATGGGCTTTGCTGAAGAAAATGTAAAAGGCCAGGGTCATCATCATACAGAGAAGTGTGTCAAGGCCTGGGTATTCTGCTCAATACATAATAGGGGATAATCAGACTGTCTTGGTACCAGGCATGCTGGATTTGAGATGCCAGTTGTCTGGGAAAAACCAAACACTGCCCAGCACCTAGTGACCTCAGGTGCTGTGGAAAGTTAAGCTCCTCCTGTCCCAGAAGGGAGTCACCAGTCCTGTGGGAAACTGAGTATGGGTACAGATTTCTCCATCTCTCTCCAACCTGACATGTTATTCTTCTTCTACTAACATTTTTGTACTCAAAAGACAACTGCAACTCAACCACCACTTACTGACATCTAAATACAAGGTTTACAATGGACAGTTATAAATCCTGCCTTTAAGAAGCTTCCAGTCTAGTAGAATGGTACCAATTAACTGCTTTTTCTTCAATCTGATAAGAGCCCTTAGATATAGATTATATATATAGGTATAGATATAGAATAAACACAATGGGTGATTAGATGAGGAAGAAATTATATTCAGGTTTTTGGTGGGGAGAAAAAGCGGGCCAGAGAAGGCTTTGTGGTGTGGTGTGGTGTGGTGTGGTCGCTACAGAATTTAACAGGTAAAGATGAGTAGGTTTTTCCAAAACTAGCATGGACAAAGGCAAAAATGTACAATGAGTATTTGCTGAAATCCGTGTATAATTTTATAATGTGACACTAACTATACAAGTGTTTTAAAAGTAGTTACTGCTCTGGTACTACATCTGTTTTTATCCCTTCACAAAATGTCCTCTCTTCCACTCGTGATTATCAAATAGTTCACCTTTCCTACTTGTTCGCATTTTCATCCACCAACTCACAACAAGACTAAAATGAGATGCAGTGCAGTGTAGGGGTTGAGACTTACTCTGGAGACAGAGTGTTTGGAACCAAAATCCAGCTCCTCCACTTACCAATTCAGTCAAGTTAACTATCTTGTGCCTTGATTTCCTTCATCTGTGAAATTCATTAGGTCGACAAATATTTATTGATTCTCTGCTCTAGATAAGGAACTATTCCAGACACTTGGGATGTATCAGTGAACAAAACAGACAAAGATCCCTGCTTTGTGGAGTTTACATTCTAAAGGGGGGAGGCAGACAAATATAATATGTAAATTAAATTGTGTGCTAGGATAAATGCTATTGGAGAAACAGAGCCGGGGCAAGGGGAGCTGAAGTGCAGCGGGGACTATAATTTTAAACAGGGCAGTCAGGGTAGGCCTCATTGAGAAGGCAACATTTGAACAGAGACTTGCAGGAAATGAGGGAGTTAAAAATGAAGAAACGTAGGGAAAGCATGTTCCAAGCAGAGGAATAACCCGTGCAAAGGCCCAAAGGCAGAAATATGTCTGCTATGTTCCAGAGGCCAGTACAGCTAGATCACAGGGAATAAGAGGAGATTTGAAAGGTTAATTGGGGTGGGAGAGGTGAACAAATCAGGTAGGTCTATGCAGGGCACTCAAGAACCTTGACTTAAACTTTATGTATGATGGTGAGGCACTGGAGGACTTAAAAAAGAGCAAGTTTCATGATCTGACTTAGATATTAAAACCATTTCTTTGGTACAGTGCCGAGACTTGTTGTGGAGGAGATAAGAATGGAAACAGGGAAACCTAGCAGGCTACCACAGTGGTCTAAACAAACAAACAAAAAGATGGTGACTTGGAACTGCAGCAGTGGAGAGAAGTGATATGATTTTTGGTATACTTTGAGGGTGGAGCCAGCAGAATTTCCTAAAAGAGGCAAAAATGGACTCCAAGTTTTCTAGTCTGAGCAACCAGTCAGATTGATGTCATCACATAAAATGAGAAAGATCATGTGTGGGAAGCATTTGAGTGTGAAGATCAGAAGGTCAGCTTGGGATTTAAGTTTGAGGTATCTATTCAACATCCAGATGCTGACAAAGCAGCTGGATGTATGAGGTTGTGAGCAAGAAATACAAATCTGGGAGTCATCAGCAGATGATATTTAAAGCTATGAGAATATAGATCACCAAGGCAGAGAATGCAGAAAAGAGGAAAAACCAGGATGAGAACATAATAATACTAATATCTACTTCATAAAATTATTTGAGGATTAAATACATTGGGTTCATAGCAGGGCTGTAAACATGGTATATACACGATCTGTACAAATAAACACTATATTATAGTATTATTGCTGTTATCTCTGGAAAATGTCAGACCTGTTTCCAGAGACATATTTCATTTTGACATCCCAGTCCTCAGCTTCTTCATCTCTACCCTAGAGCAAATACCTACTCTATAGTATTGTGAGACATATAGGAGCTAATGAATGCAAAGTGCCTAGCAAAGTAATCAATAAACATTTTTCCTCTAAATTCCAAATATCCACATATAAATCAAATGTATATATAATTCAGAACCATTTCCCTTTACAATTCTTATCAGAAATGGTCCTGTTTTCAGGATGGCCCACTGACTCCATAAAGTATCACAAGTTGTTATTACTGTTGAATGCCTCAGTAATAATTTTATAGGCCAATTCTCAGTCTTTGGAAAAGGAGGTCAGGAGGCATAGAGGGAAAGACCAACTACTTCACATATCATCACACTCCCTTTCGTCTTGTTCAACCTGCCCATCTCTATGAGGTAGACACATCTGTCCTCATCATACACATGAAGAAATCAAAGCTCAGAGAAGTTAAATACTTTAGTTATTTCTCAAGATTACACAGGTCAGTGACAGAACAAGACTGGCAGGAAACCAGGTCTGCCTTACTCAGGGTGGGGAACAGGATCATGCTGTCTTGCTGGTCACTTCCCGTGTAGAGCATCAAACTCCTCTTGGGCTGTGTCCTTAATGTTTCCATAGGACTCTGCATTCACCTCTATTATGATACTTGTTTTTTCCCTTTATCTATCCTCCTCCTCACCTTACTGGACTAAAATACATCTAAGAACAAAAGCTGTATGGTCTGCCCTTGCCCGTCACTGCACAGATGTGTAGAAAATGCTTACCAATTACATGAAAGAAAGCACTGTCTACTCCTACCTTAGACCATGATAAAAGAGCACCTGAATGGTACTAAGCAGCAAAACAGGGAATCCAGAATTTTTTAAAATTAATTGCTTATGTCTAGTGTAAATCAATTTATATACTGAAAACTGATATGAAAAGAGAATAAAATTTCATTGAAATAGTTTCCAGTCATGACTGCACAAACCAAGGTACCTGAACTTCTCCATGCCTCCTCTTTTCAAACGCCAGTCTTTCTTTGTCAGTCTTCTGTTCCCACTGCAACTTTTTCAGCTGTTGGGTCATTATAGCCACTTTCTTTCTCACTTGTTCCTTAAGTTCTTTGTAATGTTCCAGCTGTATAAGGAGCATTTAAATATTACTAACTCACCTAAGAAGCATGAGAGGAAGTTTTTAAGATACTATTTACTAGCAGATAATTAATCTTATCAAAAGTTTTATATAAATTAGATGATAGTTTGCCATCTTCTGCAGGTAAGATAATATGAACCCAAAATGAACCTCTTCTTCTTTAAAACTGCTTAGAAAGATAAATATTCTTCATCTCTACCCTAGAGCAAATACCTACTCTATAGTATTGTGAGACACATAGAAGCTAAAATAAGGTATTCAAAACCAACTTTATAATGTCTCTGTAAGAAATTCTTAGAAGAGAAAGGAGATTAAAACTCACTAATAGTCCAAAAGCAAGAGGAGTTCAGATAAAATTACATCTTTTGTTTATATAGTCACAGTTATTTTAGTATATATATTGTGATGTAAGATTATCATAAAATTAATGAAAAATAAATGATAAAAAAATTCAGTTGAGAGACTTTCAAAAACTCTGAATTACAAATTCTTGGATATCTACTACTAATTTATTATAATTAAACCTTACATACCAAATTGGATATTAATTCACCACCACATTTAAACCACCTCAAATAATCAACTTCCCTCCTGCCAATTAAGCAGTCATGTTTCTTCAAAGCCACATATATCTGATTTTTAAGTTTTTATAATATTCATAAGGAAAAAATTATTACATTAAAAACATAAGAACATAATTACCTAATTTTTTTACAAAATGATACCAGGTAGTCTTGTTGAAGTATTTGCTATGACTTTAATTAACTCACAAATGTTATAATGCCATCTAATCTTATAAAGTAAAAATAGCCTAGTCTATAAAGATTAAGTTTAGACTCCGAATATAGACTGAAAATTTTCAACCCCCATAATTTAGATGAGGATTGTCTGAGGATAATCTCTCAAAATATCAGATAACGTTCTTTAAATTGTTTCTAAGAAGCTGAAATTATAGAAATGAAAATTTTCTCATTTGTTGACTTGTTCACCTGACTGGCTTCTAGTTCAATGTCTCGCCCCTTGTATAAGATTTCTTCCTCAACCTGCTTTTCAAAACTTCTCCATGCACCATCTAAATCAACCAGCTCTGTCTCCAGGGCTTTTATGTCATCTTCCTGTTTAGAACACTGTTTCTCACTGTCCTTTATTGATTTCTTAGCCACGTCTAATTTCTTGAGGTGGTGAGAAGTGTTTTCTTTGGCTTTAATGTATTGAGGCCTTTTCTGATTTAAAAGTGCTTCAAGAGATCTAAAAAGAAAATAAAGTTTGCTTTAAAGTAAATTAAATCTATACTATATAAAGGAAGGAAGTTCTTTTGATCAAATCATACATTTAAAAATAAATTCTAAAAATTAACTTTTAGAGACTGTAAGCAGATCAGTGGTTTCCAGAGGAGGGGCTGGTGGTGGGGGTGGGGGGTTGGGGGACTGAATAGGTGGAGCACAGGGGAATTATCTGAGTGGTAAGCTACTCTGTATGATACTATAATAGTGGACATATGACATCATGCATTTGTCAAAACCTATAGAACTTTATAGCACCAAGAGTGAAGCTTAATGTAATGTGTGCAAATTAGAAAAGCTCACTTAGGAGGTCAAGGGATCCTAGATGGAATATAACCAAAGCATCTACTACATTACCAATGTATGAAACCACCTTACTGAAGGGGGTGGGGAGAAAAGTGCTAACCTAAATAACTTTGAAAATGAGTCACGTCTATAAAACTAAAACAAAAGGAATTGTACATAGGCATTATACTCTAGTTGCTAAAGTTGATCCCCATGAGGATATGTGTTAACAATTCTGGTACTGCTATGTATGATTACTGGAATTGAAAATGAACAGCAAAGGGTAAGATTTCATCCTTTTTGATGGCTGAATAATATTCCATTGTGTATATATACCACATCATCTTTATCCATTCATCTGTTGATCGCCATCTGGGCTTCTTTCCATAGTTTGGCTATTATGGACATTGCTGCTATAAACATTGGGGTGCAGGTGCCCCTTCGGATCACTACATTTGTATCCTTTGGGTAAATACCTAGTAGTGCAATTGCTGGGTCGTAGGGTAGCTCTAGATGAAACTAGATGAAACTGGAGGGTATTATGCTAAGCGAAATAAGTTGGCCAGACAAAGACAATTATCATATGGTTTCACTCATATGTGGAATTTAAGAAACAAAACAGAGGATCATAGGGGAAGGGAGGGAAAAATAAAATAAGACAAAACCAGAGAGGGAGAAAAACCATAAGAGACTCTTAATCATAGGAAACAAACTGAGGGTTGCTGTAGGGGAGGTGGGTGGGGGAAGGAGTAACTGGGTGATGGGCATTAAGGAGGGCATGTGATGTAATGAACACGGGGTGTTATATGTAATTGATGAATAACTGAACTTTACATCTGAAACTAATGATACACTATATGTTAATTGAATTTAAATAAAATAAAATTTAAAAATAAAATAAAAAATAAAATGAACAGCAGAATGTGGAAGCCAGGTTTCTCGCTGTTGGAATGGAGGTTATAGGTAGGCAAGAGAAGGCCAAAATCAACAGTGGTATCAGTTTCATATTATCATGTATTATACAGATAGTACATCATATAACAGATTATCTGTTGACATTCCTGATGTGATGAGAATGACATTTTACTCCATGGCCTTCCTCCTCAAAATCCATAAACCTTACCTTTTTATGAAAAAACTACCAGACAAATCCAAATTGAGAGACATTCTACCAAAAAACCTGACCAATACACCTCAAAATTATCAAGGTCACCAAAAACAAGGAACGGCTGAGAAACTGTCATAGCCAAGAGGAGCTTAAGGAGACACGATGACTAAATGTAATGTGGTATGCTTGATCGGAAACGGGACACTGGGGAAAAATCAGAAAACATGAGTAAAGTATGGACTTTAGTTAATAGTAGTGTCTCAACACTGGTTCATGAATTCTGACAAATGTACCATCTTATTGTGAAAAGTAGGAGAAATTGAGTGTAGAGAATAGGGAACTCTTGTTATCTTTGTAATTTTTCTGTGTATCTAAAAGTATTTCAAAGTAAGTTTTTTTTAAAAAATCAACTTTCAAAGTGTCACTTATATTTTTATTTTTTCTACCAATATACATAAAATCCAGCTGTTAATAACTATTTTTAAAAACTCACTTTAATTCTTTTTCTGTTTGTTGTAGTTGTCTGGTTAGCATTCCATGTTCCTTCTTCTTGGCTTTCACTATGTTTTCATGACGAGAAAGAGACTCCTTTGTGACACTCAAGTCCCTACTCACACGCTCTAACTCAGTGTTCAGGAAATGAATTTTCCTCTCATTATGATATAGTTGGAAAAGCTGTAATTGTATCTTGTTCATTTTGAGTTCTTCAAGGAGACTCTGGTAACGTTCTGCCTATAAAACAGTACAATTCAACAACAGTTAAAAGGGAGTATACTTAAGGTGACTTTTCATAAACTCAACAATAGTACCAAAAAATGATCTCTAAGGAATTAAATTATTTATTATCTATTATTTATTATTCACAACTTATTAAATTTGTGAAATAAATTACTTATGTAATTAAGAAATAGTATTCTTGTCAAAAGTAGCATTATTTGGAGGTTTCTGGATACAGTTTTATAGTAAACCAGTAAACTAGTATATGATTTTATTTTCATATACTCAGTGGTAAGAACAATGAAGTGGCACCTGCTAACCTGGTCTTTGTCCCATTTCTGTCTTGACCTCAGAGTATGGCAAGTCCATTAATATTTCTGACATCAGCTTCCTAATATGTAAACTGAAGGAAGCTCTATGACTTGTAAGGTCCCTAGCAACTTTATTTTTATTTTTTAAAAGATATTTATTTGAGAGAGAGAGAGCACATGCACGTGTGCACCCACATGTGTGCAAGCTGAGGAAGTAGCAGAGGGAGAGGGAGAGAAGCAGATTCCCTGCTGAATGCAAGTCTGCGGAGGGGCTCAATCTCTTGACCCTGAGATCATGATAAATTCAAGGATTCCAGGTAAAATTCCTGCTATAAGATGTAATTTTTCTGTTAACAGGAATATTACAATTCTAAAATATATGTAAAATGGAAGAATTTCCTTAGCATTTGTACAATTAATAAAGGAATAAAGGGCTGCTTTGAAGGGAAAGCTCCTAATCAACGATGTATTCCAATAGGTAAACAGCCATTTGCCATGACATTGTAAAAAATAGGAAATTCAATGATTCTAACTGTCCTCATAAAGTTTAAAGTTCTGCAACTCTACATTTCTATACACTGTTTCAGCACGTTATGAATATCATAGTCTTTCACTGACACCGTCCCTCTCCACTAACAAAACCAAGGATATACACACACATGTAAAAATACGAAGAAACAGAAACATCACAATGAGAAACACATCCACCTTTCAGTTAATTCTTCAAATATTAATGATTGCCTACTATGTGCCTGACCCTTGTTGCTGGGAATGTAGTAGAGAAGAAGATGGAAACACTCCCTGCTCACATCAGCACTTAAGCTAGTTGTTCTAATGGTGGGGGAGGGGGAATCAGAGAGTAAACAAGCAAACATGATAAACAAGATAATTTCATACAGCAATATATGTTACAAAAGAAACAAGAGGGTAATGCAATAGTACCAGGGAGGGGGTACCAACTTAGATTGGGGTATGGATAACAAATGCCTGCCTGAGACAATATCTTTTTAATGACAACTTGAATGAGAGAGTATTGGCCATGCAAATGTCAGGCACACAGCTATCTAGGCAGGGGAAACAGCCAAAGCTCTGAGCTCGAAGTGAGCACATTATGTTCAATGAACAGTAAAGGTCAGTGGGTGGGAGAGTAGAGGAAACTAAAACTTGAGAGGTGGGTAGGGGCCATGTAAGTAGGCTGGGGAGGCAGACTAGACAGAAGCACTGCACTGATAGAGGTTTTATGCAAGAGAAAGACAGATTCTGATGTGCATTTGACAAAGATCACTCAAAAGTGCAAAAAATTATCAACCATAAATAAGGCACTATACTAGGCATTGTGAAGGGCACCAAGAAATACCATAGAAGAGTATCTGTAAAGTGTGTCTATGGCTTCTTAGAGGTTCCCAGTACCCTTTTAGGGAGCTCCTGAGGTCAAAACTCTTTTCATAATAACATTAAGACCTCATTTGGTTTTTTCATTGTTTTGACACCTGCACCAATGGTGGGTAAAGCTGCTAGGCTTTAACATAAATAAGGTTTGATATAGAAGTAGATAGGAGATTCTTCTATTAAGCCATATATTAAGGATATTATAAATATGTAAAACAATGTCACCTTTCTAATTAGTTTTAGAAAATGCAGTTATTTTTCATAAAAATGTCATTTATGTCAATGTATAATGTTTACTATCGTAATTTAATACTGACAGTTAAAATATATTCTTAAAATTTCTCAGTTTTAATTTCAAATATAATAAATATTGGTAGATATGACCCACATTAACACAAACTCTTCGGGGACCTTATAAATTTTTAAGAAAGTAAGCGGACAAGATCCAAAAGTTGAAAGCCTCTGTCATGTAAGATATAAACCCCTGAAGCTTATTTTTAGTCGTTAAATAACCAGACATTTTTGTGGTTGAGGTTGTACTGCCTATTAAGGAAAAAACAAAACAATAAAAAAAACCAGTAGAAACTACATCAAAAAGTTTATTTTAAATGAATAGTGAGTGGGCTTTCTTTGTCTTACATTATTTTTACAACTTGTTAGTAATCCCAAGCCAATACCTAGCAATGCTAACAGACAGAAAGTCTTTGTATCCAAAACTTACTGGTTCCACCATCACAACCTTACCTCTTCTTTCTCTAATTTTGCGTGTTTGCGTTCTGAGGCTACATTTTTTTTCTTATTAAAATTAAACTGTGCATCCTCTTCAGCTTTCTGTAACTTTCTTTTCTTTTCCTCATATTCTCCTATAAGCTCTCCTGAAGTGCTGATTTCCTCAAAAAACTGGGTTCTTTCTTTGGGTTTTTTCATTGAAATCGATTCTACAGTTCCCTTTTAAAAACAGTAAAGCACATCAACATATAAAATATATGGATGTATTTTTAAAATCATGAATGAAATAAACTAGTACAGCTCCTTACCTGAAACACTAGACAGTTCCGTGCTTTGATTATTATGCCTATCTTTTCCAACTCAGCTATGTACACGGAACGACTCACTGGATTATCATCAAAATGAAATTCTGAGCATCCCCCTAAAATAAAAGAATAAAAACTATTATTGGAAGTATAAATACCAGACCTGTAACAACAACCTTTCAAAGTTTAGTAAAATTATTTTTCTTATTGAAGTGGTTAGTTATGCAATAACATACATGTTACTAATAAATGCATATAATTAGTCAACAAATATGCCAAGGAGTATTCTACAGCAGTGAACAAAATGGATGAAAGTGTGGATCTCAAGTTTATACCCCATGATGCAGACAGACAAAAATGAGATATGTAACTACAATAAATATCACATGAGAAAATGTTAGGTGCTAAGGAGAAAAAAGAGAGCTGGGAAGGGGATATGGAAGTCTCTGTGTATGGGGAACAGGCATTACAATTTTAAATAGGATGATGTTATGGTCTGAATGTTTGTGTCCCTTCTAAATTCATATGTAGAAATCCGAACCCCCAAAAGTGATGGTATTAGAAGGTGGGGCCTTTGGGAGGTGATTAAGTTGTGACTGTGGTACCCTCAGGGATGGGATTAATGGGTTTACAAAAGAGACCCCACAGAGCTCCCTAGTTCCTTCCACCAATGTGAGAACATAATGAGATGTCTGCAACCCAGAAGACAGCCCCTCATCAGACCATACTGGCGACCTGACCTTGGACTTCCTGCCTCCAGGACAGTGAGAAATAAATTTTTATTGTTTATAAGCTATTTGTTATAGCAGCACAAACAAAGACAGATGGGCTGGGAACAAGAACAAAACTGAGGCACCACACTTCTGATTTGAATATATGTTACAAAGCCACAGTAATCAAAACAGTATGGCACTGGCATAAAAACATAGAGACCAATGGAACAGAACAGAGAGTCCAGAAATACTGCATGATCTCACATACATGCGGAATCTAAAATAGTTAAACTCAGAGAAGCAGAGAATAGAATGGTGGATGCCAGAGACCAGGAGGAGAAAAAAACGGGGAGATGTTGGTCAAGGGTTACTAAGTTTCTGTTATGCAAGATGGTATGTTCTGGAGATCTAATGTATAGCAATGTGACTACTGTTAACAATACTGTATTATATACTTCAAATTTGCGATGAGGGTAGATCTTAGGTATTCTCACCACAAAAATACACACACATGCACATGCAAAGAAAACAGTAACCATGTAAGGTGATACACATTTAATTAGCTTGATTGTGGTGGTTACTTCACAATGTATATTAAAACATAGATGTATACCTTAAATACATGCAATTTTTTAATTAGCATTTCTTTCTTTTTTTTTTTTTTAAAGTAAGTTCTAGGCCCAAGGTGGGGCTCAAACCCATGACCCCAAGATCAAGAGTCACATGCTCTTCTGACTAGGCCAGTCAGGAGCCACTAGATACATGCAATTTTTACCTGTCAATTATACCTCAATAAAGATGGGAAAACATAAATTATGATGATTTATTAGATAAATAGAGCACGCTAGGGAATCTTTACTGTAACAGAGACTTCTGAATAAAAACCCAAAGGAAGTGAGAAAACTCACCAATAAAGGCATCTATGTGGTAATGTGGTGAAATACTTAAGTTACACACTAAGGTATAAGTATTTCCAGAATTATCAGTGACTGAATCTGGGAAAAGTTAATAAGACAGTATTTATACATTAGAACATTAAGACCATGTTCTAGCGCACCAGAATGAAATACCAAAAACAAAAAAACAAAACCAAGACATGCCTATTTTATGGAGGCTCTATAAACTCTGAGCATATAGAAAAGATACACGTAAACAACTCTCAATCTTGCTTATTCAGGAAATGGGTTTATTCATGAAATCCCTGTTTCCTGAATAATTACAAAATAAAATTCAAATATTTCATTCAAGTTGCTATTTGGTGGTAGAAAAACTTTCAGTGCAAACCAAAAATATACATATAATCAGTTCATCACTAAGAAAACTAGATACACATTCCAAGAGAACCTCCTTCATTTTAACCTAATAACCAGGTAGAAAAATGCTATTTGACAGCAAGGAAATGTGAACAAATCCATCTGCTTAAAGAAAACTCTTAGTGGGGGATCAAACAGGTTCTATTACTTGCTTCTGAGATTTGCCATCTAAGACAGGAAAAAAACCCCAAATCTCTAGTTTACTATGCCAGTGGAATAACAAATCACACCCTTCAAAAAAAGAAAAAAACAGATGATCTGATTTAACTTTTGAAAAATCAAATGACTCATAAGCAATTATCTACCAAAAAAATACCTCGGATAATCCTTGTAAATGTTTTCTCTTCTCCACTTTCCTCCACATACACAATTTTCACACTTGCAGAAGAAGAGACAGGTCTTCCAATATGTGCTCCATGAATGAGTTCTTGAATATTTTTCACTCTTAAATTAGCTATTTTCTCTCCCATTACAAAACTAAGTGCATCCATTACATTAGATTTTCCTGGGAAAGAAAAGAGAGAGGAAAAAGTTATTCCTTCTTAATAATAAAAAACCTTACCCAGAGTCAAATAAACCAGGCCACCAATGGAAGTGAAATATAGCCAATACACGTTTCAATAGTACTGCCTCGTCTATATTTAAGATGCATGTGACTGAACAATTTTATGTAGATCACTGGTTTCTTCTATGCAGCTAGGGTAGAGTATTAAGTGGCCTAAATTTAAGGATCTAAATAAGGGGATCTAAACCCCAACTCTCTTCCATTATTAAATATTATACTATGGCAAATCATCTCTGAATTTCAGTTATTCTCATTTTATGAATATTAACTATCACATACTTTTAGAAATGGCTAACTATATCCAAGATATTCCCACAGACAATAAGGTTGCTAGAATATTTACGATTGGTGGGAGTTGGTGGTACAGAAAAGTTATACAGCAGGCCTGAGCCTTTTATTTTTTTTTTTTTTAAGATTTTTATTTATTTATTTGAGAGAGAGAACATGCAGGAGTGGGGGGAGGGGCAAGAGGGGAGGGAAAGGCAGAGGGAGTGCCTGTATCCTTTTGAATTAGTGTTTTTGTATTCTTTGGGTAAATACCCAGTAGTGTGATTACTGGATCACAGGTTAGTTCTATTTTTAACTTTCTGAGGAACCTCCATACTGTTTTCCACAGTGGCTGCACCAGTTTGCATTCCCACCAACAGTGCACGAGGGTTCCTTTTTCTCCACATCCTCACCAACACTTGTTATTTCTTGTGTTTTTGATCTTAGCCGTTGTGGCAGGTGTGAGGTGATAGCTCATTATAGTTTTGATTTGCATTTCCCTGATGATGAGTGATGCGGAGCATCTTTTCATGTGTCTGTTGGCCATCTGTGTGTCTTCTTTGGAGAAATATCTGTTCATGTTGTCTGCCCATTTTTCAATTGGATTATTTGCTTTTTGGGTGTTGAGTTCTATAACTTCTTTATATATTTTGGATACTAATCCTTTATCTAAATCCATTCATCTTTTGAGCCAGCAATTCCACTTCCAGAAATCTACCTCCCTGATATATGTGTACAACTATACAATGGAAAATACATAGTTATGCAATTCATTATAGGTTTTTTCTAACAGAAAAAGATCAGAAACAACTCAAGTGTCTAGAAATTAAAGGAATACTTGAAGTAACTGTGTAACAGCCACCCAATGGGAGAATTACACAGCAGAAAGATGACAGAAGAGGATGTAATAAGTGAAAAAAAGAGTTTGTAACAGCATATATTGTAAAAAACTAAATATAAACTTTGGCATAAAGAACTGAGGGGCTAGAAATAACAATACATATATATTTGCTTGCATTTGCAAAAAGGGATACTGAAAGATAATTAAGAAATGGTCATTTAGGGGCGCCTGGTGGCTCAGTGATTAAGCGACTGCCTTCGGCTCAGGTCATGATCCCGGGGTCCTGGGATCGAGCCCCACATCAGGCTCTCTGCTCCGCGGGAAGCCTGTTTCTCCCTCTCCCGCTGCCCCTGCTTGTGTTCCCTCTCTCGCTGTGTCTCTCTCTCTGTCAAACAAATAAATAAAATCTTAAAAAAAAAAAAAATTTGGATAGCAAATGCAGTAATTTCTTTGACATTGGCTGTAACAATATTTTTCTAGATAGGTTCCCTGAAGCAAGGGAAATAAAAGCAAAAATAAACCATTGGGACTACATCAAAATAAAAAGCTTCTGCATGGCAAAGAAAATAATCAACAAAACTAAAAGACAACCTACTGAATAGAAGATATTTGCAAATGACATATGCAATAAAGGATTAGTTTCTAAAATAAAGAAGTTATAGAACTCAACACCCAAAAAGCAAATAATCCAATTAAAAAATGGGCAGACAACATGAACAGATATTTCTCCAAAGAAGACACACAGATGGCCAACAGACACATGAAAAGATGCTCCACATCACTCATCATCAGGGAAATGCAAATCAAAACTATAATGAGCTATCACCTCACACCTGCCACAACGGCTAAGATCAAAAATACAAGAAATAACAAGTGTTGGTGAGGATGAGGAGAAAAAGGAACCCTCGTGCACTGTTGGTGGGAATGCAAACTGGTGCAGCCACTGTGGAAAACAGTATGGAGGTTCCTCAGAAAGTTAAAAATAGAACTAACCTGTGATCCAGTAATCACGCTACTGGGTATTCACCCAAAGAATACAAAAACACTAATTCAAAAGGATACAGGTACCCCGAAGTTTATAGCAGCATTATTTACAATAGCAAAGATACGGAAGCAGCCTAAGTGTCCATCAACTGATGAATGGATAAAGAAGATGGGGTATGTATATACAGTGCAGTATTAGTCATTAAAAAAGAATGAAATCTTGCCATTTGCAACATCATGGATGGAGCTAGAGAATATAATGCTAAGCGAAGTCATTCAGTCAGAGAAAGACAAATACCATGATTTCACTCATGTGGAATTTAAGAAACAAAACAAAAGGGAAAAAAGAGAGAGGCAAACCAAGAAACAGATCAAAAAAAAAGAAAAAGAAAAAGAAACAGATACTTAAGTATAGAGAACAAACTGATGGTCACCAGACGGAAGATGGTGGGGGGAAGGGTGAAATAGACGATGGGGATTAAAGAGTACACTTATCATGCTGAGCACTGAGTAATGTATAGAATTGTTCAATCACTATATTGTATACCTGGAACTAATATAACACTGTATGTTAACTATATTGGAATTAAAGTTAAAAACTTAATAAAATTTAAAAAAACATTTGGGTAAATGGTGGATAAGGAACATTTGTCTAATGTCAAAGTAACACTAGTAACACTAGAACACTAGACTAGTTAGAAGGGAAAAACTAATTGTACAGTGGAGTTATCACTGTCACCACTCTAATCCAGGGGTCAATCTTAGCACCACTAGTGGTAAAACAAATAGATATTATGTGATGTAATACAGTGTGAAGTATACAACATCACCTATGATGGAGTCTAATCAAAAACGTTTAGTTTGAACCCATCAACCTTTTAGGTATTGCATTTTTTCAAATGCCTTTTCCTCATCTATCAAGAAATAAAATGGGGGCGCCTGGGTGGCTCAGTTGGTTGGACGACTGCCTTCGTCTCAGGTCATGATCCTGGAGTCCCAGGATCAAGTCCCACATCGGGCTCCCTGCTCAGCAGGGAGTTTGCTTCTCCCTCTGACCCTCCCCCCTCTCATGCTCTTTCTCTCTCAAATAAATAAATAAATAAATAAAATCTTAAAAAAAAAAAAGAAATAAAATGGATCTTTTTTCTTGTGGGAACAGATGAAGATTACTGATATAATAGTGTGGCACATGGATTAAAGTAGGGTAAGACCAAAGGTTGGGAACTCAGCTAAAAGATTACTACATTAATCCAAGGAAGAAATGATGAGAGCCTGAAACAGTGATAGTAGTGGGAATAGAGGGAAGAGGACAAGATTATTAAGGTGGTAGAATTGGCTCAGATTGGTAATGTTCTGGGTGTGACAGGGAGAATTTATAAGGATGAAGGAGAATTCATTTAGTTGGCAGCCATATGGAACTTGGAACTCTGGGAGAAAAGCAATCTGAAGTCCAAGGAACAGCAAATGCTAAGACCCTGAAACAGAAATAAGATTGGTCTATGTAAGGAAGCCAAAAAAAAAAGCATTTCTGACTAGAGCATAGTAAATATGGGGGAAGAGAATATTAGAGAAGAGAAATACACAGGGGCCAGATTATAAAGGGTTTTGTGGATCATGGTAAGAAATACTGGATTTTATTCCAAGTGTAGGGGAAAGCCACTGGAGAGTTTTAAGCTGGGCAGTGCTCAGATTTATAGATTTACTTTTTTAGTTTGTTTTTTTAACTGCTCAATCTGACGCTGTGAGAATGAATTGCAAAGAGACAAGAAAGAAAGCCGAGGGACATGTTAGGAAGTTATAGCAATAGTCCAAATGAGAGCTCTAGCAGCTTTGACTGATAGCAGTGAAAAGTGGCAAGAAACAACTGGATTCAGGATGTATTTCAGAGGTAGAGTTATTAGGATTTATAGAAGATTAGATGAGGGATGTGGGGTATAGAAGGAGGAATAAAGAATTACTCTAGGTATCTGGTCTGAATGAATGAGTAAATGGTGCCCCTTACTGAGTAGGTAAGACCTTGGAAGAAACAAGTTTGGGCGAAGTAGGGGAGAGGAAATTTACTATTCTTTCTGATTATAGTATTTTTTTTAAGATTTTATTTTTAAGTAATCTCTATGCCCAAAATGGGGCTTGAACTCAACGGAGCCAGCCAGGCACCCCTGATTATTTCACATGTCTACTATAAATAGCAAAAAAAAAATGCTGAATATTATAGCCCTAGATATATAATTTTGTAAGTCAGCAGCATAAGGATGGTATTTGAAGCTATGGGACTGAATCAGATCACCTAGGAAAAGAACATAGGGTAGACACAGACAGAGGATATATTTCCAGGGGGTAGGAGGACTCCAGTGTTTAAGAGACCCAGGGGAGAAGCAGCCAATAACTGAAGGCTTGCCAGTGAAACAGGAGAAAACCTAGTTGGATATAAAGTCAGAAGAGCAAAGAGGCTCAAGGGAGAGATGAAATGTGACCTGCCATGCAACCTAGACAGCAAGACCTTCCCTTGACCAACTTCTTTAAAAACAACCCCAGCATTTCTGATTCCCCTCCCGTTTCTATTTTTCTTCTTAATACTTAACACTTTAATATTCTATATACTTCTCATATTTTGCTGTCTGTCTCTGTGCACTTGAACGTAAGTTCTATATGGGAAGGAATTTTTATCTGTTTACTGATGAGAACAGTGCATGGCACATACTAGGCATTCCATTATTTTTAAACGAATGAAATAGCACTGATAAGTCAAACAGGATGAGGAAGGAAATTGGCCACTGACTCTTACAAGATGTAGGTCAAAGGTGACCTAGGTAAGTGTTATTTCAGTGGAGCTTGGGACTGAAAACTGAATCAAGAGCACTGAGGATGGTTCAGAGTTTTACTGTACTGATAAAATGGGGCAACAGCCTAAAAAGACAGTGAAGTTAAAGGGCTTTTCCCCAAGCATTTCATTATAAAATTTTCAAACACATAAGAAAGTTGAAAATTTCATAGTAAACACCCATATATTTACCACTAAATTCTACAATTAACATTGTACTATACTTTCTTTTCATATAACTATCCATCCTCTATGTCATAAGAGTGTTAATAAGGCATGTATTATTGCTAATGAAAATTATCCAGTAAGGGAGGAAGATACAATCCAAAAGAGAATGATAATCACAGAAGCAAAGAACTGAGGAGGGAGCAGGATGTAAATCACAAGTGGAGAGGATAGCCTTAGACTCAGGCACACTTATGGAACTTCCCTGCTAAATAGTCCCTGCTTCAAAGTCTATTTTTTCCATAAAGTTAAATATATCACCCTGGCAAGTACTTACCCTAGGATTCCAACATTATACACCGCTGCTCCCCTACACATGCACTACATTCTTGACAATTTGGGCTATTAACTGTCCCACAAATAGACTCACAAATCTCTAGAAAAATATTCTTTACTCTTCGGGCCAGCTCAAATGGTAAGTCCTCTAGAAAACCTTTCCTTATCTTTACCTCTTCCTGTCCATACCTCCCTAAATCAGATCTAGAATTTTCCTTGCTTAAAGTTCCATAAACAGTGTCATCGGGACTTCTATTTCAATAAGTGTGTCATTTTCTTATACTCCCAATGCCTCGGGAGCAGAAGCTGTCTTATTATACGTATCTTCTTCTGCTTCTAATACTATATATACACAAAAACTATTTGCTAAATTTGAGTGGAAAACATCAAGGTTAAGATTAAAGATGAAATTTTCCCACTACCTACAAAAAAACCAACATTAGATTTACTAAAAACAAACGAGAACATGTCAAATTTTGACAGGTGGTAACAATAAGAAATTATTACAAAAAGAATGACAACTAGCTAAATTGAAGTTTAAGAGAAAGTGAGTATAACAGAAAATTATCAATTGGTTTAATAAAATCTACCTAAATGGGTAATTCTGTAAGATTTTTAAAAAGATGATTTATGAACAAGTATTCAAATGAATATAAATGAATAACACCTATTAAATTAGTCATGGATTAGTATTATACTGAGTTTTGGCCATCGTATAGAAGGAGAATGTGAATAGCCCATGCAAAATTCAGCAGTAAGTAAACCAGAAATTGTTGTTGTGGAGAGATGATATTAAAGGTAATGCTGAAATAATCCATGACTGGCTTTGCATGGTTCTAAGTAAAATCTCTGGGTTACCAGTGATTCTCAGGAGGGGAATGGAGCTTCCAGGGCATGTGGGACAAGAGGAAGTTGTAAAGGCATTTTCACGATAACCTTAAGACATATTGTTAACCACGATATGTATTGTTGAATTAAGAAAAGAAGTAAGATTATTTTGAAACTTACGTTTGGCACTAGTTTAAAAAAGGTCAAAACGCCACTTTATCCGGATCTTGAACGGCAGTGGGCAAGTAATTTAGGCTGACTGCAGTATAAGACTTTACCCAAATACTCATTCAAAATATTACACTGTTGGAAGTACAAAATATAATTGAGCAACTCTTCACATAATCACCAGTTAAAAAGTGAAAATCAACTGCTGGTGGGCCTACTAACCTGATAAATGAGTGGATATACTCATTGTATACTTACCCTTACTTTTTTCAATGTCTTTTTGACAACAGAATCAGTCTGGCCTGAGAGCGCCACAAAGAAGATTTGAGTTAGGAAAAATCTCCAAGTAACTATCATTTTAGACCCTCTACCTGCTGGGGTCATTACATCTATGGATCTTACCACAGTGCAGTAGGGAGCCTGGCCAGGCCTGAACTCAAGTCCAGGCTCTGCCACTTCCTGGGTGACCTTGGAGAGTCATCTGACCCCTCTGAACCTCAGTTGCCTATACTACAAAATGGGATAACACCCACTTATGAGCACTGAAATAGGGATGCCAGAAACTTGGTAAAAGCTCCATGAATGCCGTTACTATTACAAAATTCCTGTGTAGAAGGTTCCTTGAATCCAAACAGTTGTTAAGTCTCCTTAAAACCAATTATTTCCTTCAGCTCTCTCTCATTTAATCTTTGGATGAGAAAAGGAAGGGGGTGGAGAGGAAAGGTGTAGCAAGACGGAGTCACCCCTGTCAAGCAGGGGCCTGTCTCAAGCAATGAGGTAGCAGGTAAGAGCATTGCAGCTAAGACCAGATGTTACCTAGACCAGCACCAGCTCATGACACACTCAGAACTGATGACCAGCAGAAACAAAGGAGGTCTGCAAAGGCCTAAGACTGATTAAATCCCTTTAAAAAAAGGATTTTTGCAGCAGTGTCAGACTTCTCAGACACTGGCCCCTCTGTGTCTGACCACTTTAAAAAGGCAGAGGGGGAAGGCGGAGCCTGGGTGGCTCAGTCAGTTCAGTGACCAAGGCTTAAAAAAGACTGACCTTCCAAAGGAACAGAGATCCTTCACTGCTTGAACATAATAAGCAGTAAGTGCCCAGCCCTGACCCTGACTGAGGCCGTATCTCAACCAGGAACTCACAGACTAACTTCAGGGTGGGTAGGTTAACTTCCTACCTCCGGCTCTATCTTGTTTTTCGTGACTTGTCTTGGGCTTTGCTTGTGTAAGCAGCCAAGTCAAACCCGTGGTGAACTGTCATTGAGTTTGGACTCCCGAACCGGCTTTATAATTATGTCAACCATGCTCGTGACAAGAGGTGACTAGGGCTCAGGGCTGGAGAAGAAACTCCCAAAGCACTGGAAGCCAGAGAGCAAAGGAGGGGAGGGTCCTGGTCAAACCTGGGGTTGGGTGTGGAGGTGGAGGGTCGTGGCCCAGCAGCAGAGGGCAAGGTGGGCACCTGGCGGTGGCGGGCTGAGTACAGGGGGGCGGGGGGCCAAGGTCAGGGTCCAGGCGCCAGAGGGCCGGGGGCTGGGCAGAGGACGTGGGTGGGCACCTGGCGGCGGGGGGCTGGGCAGCTGAAAGTGAGGGGCCGGCGGCAGAGGGGGAGGGTAGGCACCTGGCCCAAGCGCCGGGTGCCGGAGGGCTGGGGGCGGAGGCCGAGGGTCGGGGTCTCGGTCTGGGCCCTGGAAGGCCGGGGGCCAGGCGCTGGAGGTCGAGGGTCAGTGGGCGAAGGTGGGCGCCTGCGGGCTGGGCAAAGGACAAGGGTAGGCACCCGGCGGCGAGGCTGAGGGCCGGGTGGCCGAGGGTGACGGTCGGGCGGTAAAGGACTGGGGACGGGGGGCGGAGGACGAGGGGCGGGCTCTGGGCAGCGGAGAACGAGCATGGGCAGCTGGCGGCGCGGGCAGAGGGTGGAGAGTCGGGCTCCAGGTGCCGGAGGGTCGGGGGGAGGGGGGTCAGGGTCTGGGGTGCGGGCTGCGGAGGGCCGGGGGCTGGGGGCAGAGGGTTGGGGTCAGGCGGCGGAGAGTGGGCCGGGGGCCGGAGGACGAGACTGGGCACCCGGCGGCGAGGGCCGAGGCTGAGGGTCGGGGCCCCGAGGAGAGGGGGAGGGGCCAGGCCCGGCGGCGGAGGGCGGGTCGGGGGGCGTGGGGTTGGAGTGAGGCTGGCGGAGGCCCGCGGGCAGCAACCGCCTCAGCCCCGCACGCGAGGCCTCCCTCACGTCCCCTTTGGCAAAATGCGGCCTGGACGAGCCGGGCGGGCAGAGGCTTTCGGGGTCCCAGTTACCGGAGCCATTGGGGCCAATGATGCAGGTGAACCTCCTGAAAGGGCCGATGACTTGGCGGCCCCGCCACGACTTAAAGTTCTCCACGAGCAACAGCTCCAGGTGGCCCATGGCTGCGGCCTCGGCGCCTCAAACCGCTTCCTCACACGCCGGCAGGAAAAGCGCGGGAAGGGCTTCGCGGCGTCTCGCGAGAGGAGAGCGAGAACCCAGCGGGCGCCGCGCCGTTCCTAAGCAACCGGTCTGTTTACGTCTCCGAGTAAACCGGTCTCCGCGCCTTTGGCCAGGTCGCAGAAAGCCCGACAAAAAGCTTGCGAAGCCAGCGCGTATTGCAGGGGAACCATCCTCGCTTGGGCTACAGCTAGTTTTATTTTTGTCTTTTTCCTTTTTCATCTCGCATGCCTTAAAAACCCCTTAGGGTTTCTTCTCAACTTCCAGCCATGGAGCTAGCTCAGCCCAGGGACCTGGAGCAGTACTTGGCTCTGGGCAAGAGGAGGCATAACGAGTTGTGCAGGCAGAAACGGATCTTCAACGCCAGGAACAGGATCATCGGGGTGAGGTCCCCGGACCGGGAGGGCGTGTGCAGGGGGGTGGCGAGGGAGGCGGGCGGCGGGACAGCGGAGGCGAACCCCTGCAGTGAAACCGCTGATGCAGGCACAGCGGCAGACAGCACGAGGTGTGCTGGGGAAGACCAGTTCGTTGTATTGACTACTGACGACGGGCAAGACCTTCGCAGACCCGATACTGCACCCTCTCACCTGCGGGGCAGGCAAATGGAGCCCTGCAGCAGGTAGGGAGGGGGCTTGCCTGCCCTGAGTGGCTCAACAGAGACCTGAGCGTGGGTCTCCTTTCTCTGAGCCAGATTTTCTACACTGCCAGGGACTCCTTCCAGTCTATCCATCTGACAAATGCCGGTGGCGTTCCTCTTTTGTGGCAAGCCTGAGCTGGTGCCAGGAAATGGGGAATATGGCAAACCCTGCCTGACCTTGCAGAGTTCATGACCCATGGAGGAGAGGAGAGGCAAGCACTAAAATGGCCACATTAACGTGCAGTGGAATCAGTGCTGTGAGGGAGGGGAGCACAGGGTGTCAGAGGAGCACAGACTGGGGCCAGGAAAGGAAATCAGAGAGGGCTTCCCAGAGGTCTTGCCTAAGCTGTGTTCTGAAGATATCTATTGACTAAGAGAAAGGGAGAAGGAAGCTCTGGGGACAGGCTGAAGAACCAACTACAAGCAAAGGCATCCAGGTATGAGAAGACCTGAAGTGTACCTAAGACAACAGTGGAACAAGGCTTAAAAAAGATAAGTAGGATTGTCATCGATGGACTAAAATTATCTGGCTGTAACTTGTCTCCCCTTTTTTTCCATTCCTAGGGAGACACAGAAGCCTGGGATGTTCAGGTTCATGACCAGAAGATAAAAGAAGCAACTGAAAAAGCTAGACATGAAACTTTTGGTGAGCATTTCCTGAAGCCTCCCTAGCAGTTTAGGGCTGTGTACCTCTTGACCCAGTCCTCATGTCTTCAAATATGTAAAACTTGTCATTTTCACACTCCTCCTCCTTTTAAGATTTCATAGTTGCTTGTGTTTAAGTAACTTAATGTGTTGATTCTTTCTCTCTTAAAGGGAAAACAGATATTGAATTCTATGTGGGTTGTAGGCAATATATTTTGAGGGTAAATGTACATTTTATTAGTTTTCTTTGAAAACTGGTTATGAAAAACCCTAAACACACACCATTCTCTGCCCAAAAGTTCCAGACCCTCTCCTGGGGACAACTGCTTGCACTAAATGACACACACACAATCCCAACTCACACCCCTGTGCTGACTCGGAGCTAGATATGATAGCTTGGCAGCCCTGAGATAAAAATTTCAAATAGAATTCATTTTCCCACATCAGGTGCAACAATTCCAGCTTATCTTTTTCAAAGCACCATAGGATTTTTAAATTTTTTAAAAGATATATTCATTTATTTGAAAGAGCAGGGGGAGGGGCAGAGGGAGAGAATCTCAAGCAGACTCCACACCCAGTGTGGAGCCCAACTGGGGGTTCAGTCTCATGACCCTGAGATCATGACCTGAGCCCAAATCAAGAGTCAGACGCTCAACTGACTGAGCCACCCAGGCGCCCCTATAAGGATTTTTTTTAAATAGAAAAAAGCAGATGCAAAATTGTATATACCATGGGCTATCAACTAAATGTTAAAATATATTTTTAAAAAATAAGCTTAGAAAAAGACAGAAAGAAAATATACCAAAATGTAAGCAGTGGTGATGTTGGAATGATAGAATATGAATGAAGTTTATTTTCTTCTCTAGTTTCTGAACAGTTCACCTTTTTATGTTATGTTTAAAAATAATTCAAACTTACAAGAACAATAGGACAGGACATACATACCTACTACCCCATTAGATGTTAATATTTTGCCAAACTGGCTTTAGATATCTTATTTTAAGAATTCTTTTTGAGAATTAAATTCTATATATGTATGTATGTATGTGTATCTATGGCTATAGATATATAAATGCTATAATGTATATCTAAAAATGTATAAATGTTTAAATGTATACATAAGTATATATAAACCCTACATATGTGTATGTATAGTTATAGATAGATAGAGCTCTCCCCCACCTCATCGTCCCTCCTCCTCCCTCCTCAGACAGATACATCATTTCCATGCATGTTTCTTGTAATATTGTACTATTTATATACATATTCATGATGATATAAAAATTTTTGTGTGTGTTTTAAGATACAATTTTGTGTGGGTGTTTTAAAATTTCACCTAAATCTTACATAAATACATCGAATGGATCCTTTTGCAACTTTTTTTATTCAACATATTTTTAAAATTAATCAGTCATGGGGTGCCTGGGTGGCTCAGTCAGTTCAGTGACCGACTCTTGATTTTGGCTCCTTGCTCAACAGGGAGTCTGCTTCTCTTCCTCTCCCTCTGCCCCTCCCCCCCCACTTGCACAGTCTCTCTCTCTCAAATAAATAAAATCTTAAAAAAAAAAATAAAATTAGGGATGCCTGGGTGGCTCAGTTGGTTAAGCATCTGCCTTTGCCTCAAGTCATGATCTCCAGGTCCTGGGATTGAGTGCCGAGTTGGGCTCCTTGCTTGGCAGGGAGTCTGCTTCTCCCTCTGCCTGTTGCTTCCCCTGCTTGTGCTCTCTCTCTCTCTGACAAATAAATAAATAAAATCTTAAAAAAAATTAATCAGTGATCTACATGTAGAATGTTCTTTTTAATTATCTTATGATATTTTGTTATATGAATTAACCACAATTTCTTTATTCATTCCCCTCCCGATGGCTGATTTAGATTTTTTCCAAACAATGCTGCAATGACTATCCATGTATTATGTCCCTAGTGTACGTAGGTGAGAGATACCTAGAAGTAGAAATGGTAGGTCATTGGTGTGCATGTTTTCAATTTTATGGGATATTTATTGGCAAATTGCTTTCCAAAGTTATAAGTGTACCAAGTTGCACTCTCCCAAGCAGTGAATGAGAAATCTTGTTTCCTTACTACCCTTACTAATGTCCTTACTAATATATGCTATTATTAGCATTTTAAATATTTTGCCAATTTATCAGATGGTTCCCATCTTGTAAGGCCAGTCATCTTTTCAGAAGCCTTTTGATCATTCAGGTTTCTTTATAGTGATTTGCCTGATCCTATTCTTGGCCTACTTTTTGCTTTGGTTGTTTGGTGGGTTGTTTTGTTTTGTTTTGAGAGAGTGCATGCATGAGGAGGGGGAGGGGCAGAGGGAGAGGGAGAACCTTAAACAGGCTTCACATGGAGCACAGAGCCTGACTTGCATCGTGATCAGTCACGACCTGAGCTGAAATCAAGAGTCAGTTGCTTAACCAACTGCGCCACCCAGGCGTCCCTGTTTGGTTTTTTTAAACTGATTTGTAGGGACTCTTTACATATTCAGAATACTAATTCTTTGATGGCTGTGTTACCTTTTCAGAGGCTTATATTACTTTAGAATCACTAAAAATTATTTTTTAAAGCGGATTCAAATTTATTTTTTCTCCGAACCTTAATCTTACAGATATGCTCTATTTCTTCCAGCTGCTGAAATGAGGCAAAATGACAAAATCACATGCATATTGGAAGGCCGGGAAAGGCGAGATAAGAGAAGCCTCTGTAAAGCCATCAGTGACTTCCAGCAGCACTTCCAGAGGCCAGAAACGCGCCGTGAATTTGACCTATCAGACCCCTTAGCGCTTAGGAAAGATCTTCCAGCTAGGCAGTCGGATAATGATATTCGGAATACAGTATCAGGAATGCAGAGATTCATGGGAGAGGATTTAAACTTGTGCGAGAGGAAGAAATTCCAGGAGGAACAAAACAGGGAATGGTCCTTGCAACAGCAGAGGGAGTGGGAGAAAGCCCGCGCCCACCAGAGATGTGCAGGTAATGCAACAAGAAGGACAAACTGGTCTCAGTACTTTCTTCAACAGATCGGCCCCCTGGTCTTTTCCCCCGCTTCATTTTTGTCTCTTAAGTCCTACTAATGTGCTGTGTTGGCCAGAGTCAGCCTACATTCTAGGATTTGAATGTCTTCAGTCACATGTCAGTTGTGCAGGGGACCGGCTCTGAGCTTGCACTCTGAACCCGGGCTCCCGCGGGGTGCTGGGGCGCACAGTACCTTGGAATGCACCCTGCCCTTGGGGTGCTCACAGTCTGCTGGGAAGACATTGGAGAATACACGGGTGCAGCCGGGTTGTCTCAGGGCTGTGCTAGATGTCCCTACAGGGTCTGAGGGGTGTGGCGGAGGGCACCCTGGTCACATGTCCTCACCAGGACCCTCTGGGCCCAGGGATCCTCTCTGACAGAGCCTCCACAGCAGGAAACAGCCTCTCTCCTGGAGGGCGCTGCAAGGCCAGCACATCCTGCTGGCACTCCGGTGGCCAGCATTTCTGCTTTACCAGGGCCTCTGCGTGGGGACTCCCAGCAGCTTCTGATCTCTGGCGACTTCTCGTGCCAGGAAGACGCTGTAATGGAGAGGACAGTGTCACGGCTCTCGTGCACGTGCTGGCGGGGTGACAGGACACAGAAGTGCTTTGGTGAAGACCAAACAGGAGCTGTGACAGGGAGTGAGGCCCCCTCACACGCTCCCAACTCCCCCAACCCCAGCCTTGCCTCTCTGGTGGTTTCCCTGCAGCCTCCCTGGGCAGCTCGTCCTCCTCCCAGCACCCCTCCCCTCTTCTCTTCTCTTCTCTTCTCTTCTCTTCTCTTCTCTTCTCTTCTCTTCTCTTCTCTTCTCTTCTC